TGCCGGGGGGCAGCGCTGCCTACCAGCCCCCCCTGCCCGGGGGCTAGCCGGCGGGGCGGGGCCCGTGCCTGGGGGCGCGGGACCAGCCCTGACCTCCGCCCCGTCTGGCCAGCAGGTGCTGGTGGTGTCCCTGCTGATGGTGCCGCTGCTCCGGACGGTGTCTCAGCGTCTCTTCTCCATGGCCGCCGAGTCCCACGCCCCCCGGCGCCTCCCCGTGGCCGCAGAGCCCTCCCCCCCCGGCAGCCTCTCGGCTGCCTTCGTCACCTGCCCCAACGAGACCGTGGCCAAGGAGATCGCCAGGTGCCCCTCGGTCTGGGCTGGGGGGCAGCCAGGAGCCCGGACACCTGGGTTGTGCCCAGCTCTGGGGAGGGTACGCGGGGTCGGGTGGGCAAGAGCCGGGGGTCTTGTTTCTGAACAGCTCTGGCGGCTGGGGGGGGGAGCCTGGACACCTGGGTTCTGCCCATCCCTTGCAACAGCAGCGGGGTCATGGGCTTGATTGGTGTCCATGTGGAGCAGGGCGGTGGTGGAGAAGCACCTGGCAGCCTGTGTGAACATCATGCCGCAGATCACATCCATGTGAGTGTGGAGCATGGGAGTTGGGAGCGGGGGATGACTTGTTCAGCCCCATGCTGAGTGAGGGCCAGGGGGTGCTGGGGCATTCTGGAGGCTGATGCTCACTGGCCCCTGCTGCTCCTGGTCTTCCAGATATGAGTGGAAGGGGAAGATAGAGGAGGACAGCGAAGTGCTGCTGGTGAGTGCCTTGTGAGTGCGGAGCCCAGGCTAGGGCTGGGGCCCAGAGGTGCCCTCTCACCCTCCTCTGTCTCCCCAGATGATTAAAACCCGGAGCTCCCGGATCCCAGCGCTGGCTGAATATGTCCGGTAAGTGCTTTTGCTGATCTGGCAAAAGCCTGGAGGAGGAGGGAGGGAGGATGCAGCTGCCCCTAGTGGTGGAGCAGTTGAGCACCTGTTTGGGGGGCAGTGGGGTCTGAGCACCCTGCCCCAGGGCAAGCTGGGGCTCTGGGCAAGGTCGGGTGCTCAGCCCTGACCCTACTCTGACCTCCCATCCCCCTGCAGGTCCGTGCACCCATATGAGGTGGCCGAAGTGATCGCCCTTCCCATCCAGCAAGGGAATGCCCCCTACCTGCAGTGGGTACAGGAGACCGTGCCCTCCGAGTAAGACCTGCCAGTGGTCCAGCCAGAGCTGTGTATTGGGGGCAACAACAGGCAATAAACCACATGCAGACACTTGTATTGGCCAAGTCAGCCCCTCTTTCACATGTAGCCTTAGTGGGGTCCATGCCAAGGCACCTGGGGTCTGCTGGCCTAGGGGTAGGGTAAGAACAAGGAAGGAAGGGACAGTGAGCCCGGATGCCTGGGTTCTCATGCAGGAGCCCCCAGTGACCAGTGAGAGTCTGGCTGCAGCAAGCTCTTTATTCTAGGTGTCTGTTTGTACAGTCAGACGGCGGCGGCAGTGGTGGCACACAGGTGGGGTGGGAGGGGAGGTCCAGGTGGCGTCTCTACAGCATGGGGGTGCAGGCGGGGGCATAGCTGTGCTGAGGGGACCCTTCCTCCTACCCTCTTTGCCAGACCCCAGCCAGTCCCAGTGGGGTCCCCCTGCCCCCCAGCTCTGCTCCACTGAACCCTCTGCTGTGCCCCCCACCCCCAGCATGCCTCCTTTTAAATAGAATCTTTACAAAATAATAATAATAAAAAAGCAACAAGAAAATAAACCCTTTAAGTACCAGAAAGCCTCTGGCTGGTGGAGGTGGGGCCCCCAGCCCCCACTCTAGGTCCACACCAAAAGAGGTAGGACCCTCCCCTCCTACCTCCCTGGAACACTGCCCCTGCCCCCAGCCCCAGGACAGGCAGGGTCAGATGTGCTTGTCTGGGGAAAGTCACTCCCATGGGGCCAGCCTGTCCCAGGCACTACCACGTTCTCAGGCCAGCAGGGCAAGTCCAGGGCCATCTCAACCTGGGGCTGGGGGCAGCTCTATGCCCCTAGAACATACCCCCATTCCCCCACTCCACCAGATACTGTACTGTGCCATCCAGTGTGACCCTGCGGGCCAGGACCCGGACAGCCTCTCCCCGTGCCAGGCGCCCCATGGCCCCAAAATAGGTGCTACTGGTTGTGGGGGCGGTGGTGGCAGGGCACAGGGTGCCAGAGGAGGTGGGGGTGGCAGCTGGGTGCTCAGGCAGGCGCTTGCTGCTGGGGGCTGGGCGGTCCACATGGGGCAGCAGGGCGCAGGCAGGTGGGTGCTCAGGGCTGTCACGCTCCGGGGCAGAGACCTCACGGGTGTCTGGGCCAACAGCTGTGCTCCTGTACCAAGAGGCAGGGGTCAGGGTGAGCCTTCCTCACCACCTGGGCCCAGGGCACCCATCAACCCCGCCTGTCACCACCTCCTAGGACCACAGCCCAAGGCCCATGCATGAGGCCATTGGCTGGCCCTGCCCTGACCTCAGACCCCAGCCTGGTCCCTCACCTCAGGCTGCGGGCGGTGTTGGCCGATGGGTGGAAGGAGGCGAACATCCTGATGGGAGCGCTGTGGGCAACAGAGAGACAGTGAGCACCAGGCTGCCAGTTTCCCCCTAGACCCCTGCATTTCCTGGCCCCCCTGCTGGACACCCCCCCCCGGTCTGATGGTCCTTGCACTCTCACCTCTCCAGGCAGCGGGCATCAGTTCGGCGGAAGTTGTAGGAGCTTGAGGAGCCGCCGTAGCTGCCGTAGGCCTGGCTAGTGCTGGCTGGGGTCTCCACCACCTCCTGTATGGAGAAGGGGAGATCAGTGGAGCTGGAGGGAGGGGATGGGGCCAGCAGGACTGCACGGGGGCTGGATACCTGCGTGAGGGCTTTGTCCAGCCGCCACCGCTCCCTGCTGCTGCGCAGCTCCATGGTGTCGGCGGGCTCCGATGGGACCCTGCGCCGTGCCAGCCTCCGGCGTCCTGCCCCACTGCTGCCCTGCCCTGAAAGGAAGCTGTAAGAGACCCTCCTTATCTGCACAGCACGGAGGGGCCGCGCCTGTGCCCTGGGAGGGGTCCTGCCCAGCCCCAAAGCTGCGCCTGGGCCTGCTTGGTGCCTTCTACACCCTCTTCCACAGCCCTTTGCCTGGCCCCACTCCCCTCAGCTCTGCCCTATCTCCATTTCCCCTACCCCTGGAAAGGGACAATGCATGGGTGAGATGGGGATGGTGGGGCTTGCTCACCTGCTGCCTGTGAGAGGAGGCTGCCCCAGAGGCTGCTGGGACATAGGGCCCCCATGCCCCAGGGGCAGCTGGGGTGCAGGAGGTGGCACACGTGTGTGGAGCCCAAAGAGACCCTTCCGCTTCTTGATCTCCTTTCCGGAGATGAACCTACAGGAGGGAAAAGGCCAGTCAAACCCTGGGGGACAGGTGCATACACAGGTACCAAGCTCCAGCTGAGGGCCTTGGACAAGCCCAGGAAAGTGCTAGGCCTGGGTGGCTTTGGCTGCAGGTGACCCCATGTGGTCACAGGTGCAGGGCATAGTCTGGAGGCTTCTCCCACCTGTCCTTGTGGCTGCTCAGGGCACTCAGCAGCTGGCTGTAACGGTCCCCCTTGGGTGTGTCGGCCAGCTGCAGGGTAAAGAGCAGGGTTAGTTAGAGCAGCCCAACCTAATCCAGCCTCCAGCCCCTCCTCTCCTTCCCTCCCAACACAGGGCACCCTCTCCTGCCCCTGCCTCCCTGCCCACCTCTCCCAGCAGCAGGTTGTCCCAGTTCTCATTAGCAAAGGGCAGGATCTCCCGCTCAAAGTCAAAGTATTTCTTCTTGCAACAGATACTGAGGTGGTAGAGGATCAGGTGAGCCACATCCACCCTATAAGAAGCCAGGATCAGGGTTGGAGTATAAGCAGGGGCCGGGTAAGACAGGACAGAGGGACTGGGGTCACTCACCATCTCAGGGGCAGTCTGCGCACGCTCTCTGGGCCACCTGTGCAGACACAGCACTCAAAGACATAGAACCTGCAAGAGACCCGCACCAGGGACCAGAATGAGTGTCAGCCCAGCACCTGCAATCATGGACACCCCCACTCCATGGTGAAGGAGCAGTGTTAGCCCAACACCTGGGACCCCCCACCTGAGGGATCTTAAACACTACACCCTACCTCCACCATCGAGCAATGAGGTGGCTTCCTGGGCTGCATGCACCCCCCCTTCTATGGGACAGGACAGAGTGAATACCCCCGCACTGGGGAAGCTCAGCGCCGCCCCCCCCTTACCTGTCACCATAGATCACCGGCTTGCTCAGGCACTGGGTGCAGGCCTCATGGAACCACTGGGCGCAGCGGCAGCACTGCAGCATCTTCAGGTTCCACCTGTGGGAGGAAGCAGGAGGGCAGCAGGCTGAGTGCACAGCCCAGCTCTGCCTCATCTGACAGGTGTGCACAATTGCTGCTAGGACCACTAGCTTCCCCCCCCACCTCGCTACTCCCCAGCACCCATGCAAGGGAAGGCCCCAGGGCTCCCCACAATGTGAATCCTGATCCAACCCCAAAGTAGCCTTGATTCCAAACTCTCCAGCTTCATTGCCTGCTTCTGAGCCCCATGCCACAGGCTGAGCCCAATCTGGAACCTCCCCAGCTCATCCCCCGGGATGGTCCCAGCCTAGAATCTTCAGCCCCAACACCTAGTGTCCCCCATCCAGAACGTGTTGGCTCCAGCTCCAGGGGTGCCCCTTGAGGGGCCTGCACCCAGGTTGCCACTCAAGGTAAGAACTCCCTGCTCTAATGTCTGCTCCAGAGCTTTGAGCCCTGCCCTGGACTCCAACTGAGCTAGTCTAGACTGGTGCCTACACCAGGATGGACCCTGACCTAAAGCCTCTGGGAAACCCCCCCACCACCCCAGAGCCAGCTCCAGGCCCTTCTAGATCTGGGAGACCCCAGGGAGGAAGGGGAAGGACACGCACTCTCCCGGTCCACTGCAGTAACAGTAGCACTGCTGCCGATTAGTCAGATGCACTGGGTCCCACTCCAGAGCCTTCAGCTCATATGGCAGCACCATCTTCATGCTCAGCATGGCCTTGGCATAGGGGCCTTTCTTGAGGGCACCGCCCCTCTGCTCAGGAGAGAGGGAGAGTATCAGGCCAGGAGTGGGTGCAAGGGGCACAGGGGTTAGGAAAGGGGTGGGGGTCCAGCTCACCTTGGTGGCCACAGCGAAGACGCACTGCCTGCACGTCCAGGCACCAGGCACTCCTGCCCCATTGCCACCAACCTCCAGCACTGTGGGCAGGTGGCACTCCTGGTGGTAGGCTGTGGGGGCAAAGCATAGATGAGATGGGTGGCAGGGTAAGGAAGCCATGGGGCAGGGGCCAGGAGCCACACTCACCATGCCCACATTTCTCACACCGCACCAGTTGGTTCTCTGCGCTCACAGCCTCCGCGTAGCACACACAGCAGGTCTGCTCCTCACCAGGCACTGCCGCTGCAAGAGATGACAGAACCAGCCCCATGAGTGCCTGGGGGACCCAGGTGGGCAAGGGTTGGGGTGGGGGGAGGGAGTAGAAACCTGTGATGAAGCCCAGGCACCACATGGGGTGCTGCTAAGCCAGGCCCCCGGCTGGGGTCTTGGGAGCCAGCTGCTTACCCGGGTTGATGTCCTTCCAGAGAACAAGAAACTGGGAGTTGTCCTCAAACTGCACCAGACAAACCTGCCGCGAGCTGTCCACCTGTATAGGGAGAGCAGTGTGAGGGGGGATGGCTGTGGGGGTCTGGCGGAGGTGGGGGCCCAGGCCCTGCACTCACCTTCTTGATGGTGCCCAGGTAGAGCAAGCCATCGGTCCAGCGAGCCAGCACATCCTGCCCCTCCCAGAAGCGGGGCCGGCTGGGAGCGGGGATCGGGGCTGCCGGGGCACCTGCTGGGCGCTTCCAGGGGCCGGAGGCCAGGCGTGAGGTCGTGCGCGTCACCCGGGAAGACTGGGTGGGCAGCTCGCTCGCCATCACATTGTGACCAACCTGCTGCATGCAGCGAGGGTCAGTCCCAGCTGCCGAACCTAGGAGTCTGAGTCCCCCTCCCCCAAATCCAGTTGCCTCCCTCTCTCCTTCCCATGGTGTGGTTCACTCCACCCCACTCAAAGGCCGCCAGCTAGGTGAGGGAGGACAGGCCAGGAGCGCAGCAAGAGGTCTGAGCCTCCAGGCCTGGTGCTGGAGAGCTCTTACTGTGGAACATGTCTCTCAAGTGCAGGAGCTTCGCAGAACCTGGAGGCTTTGTGGGGCTCCCAAGAAGTGTCAGCCTGGGGCCTCTGGCAGGCGTGGGGTTTCGGAGAGGTCTCAGCCTATGCCCTCTCTGGCAAGCGTGGGGTTTGGGAGGGGGAGAGGGTCTTAAGCTCAGGTCCCCTCTGGCAGGTGTGGGGTTTAGGGAGTCTCACATTTAGGAGACTGGATCTGCTATTTGGGGGAAGGTCTTCCTTATGCGAGCCCCTCTCTGGGGATCTGTGGGGGCAGGACCCTGGGACATGGGGTGGTCTCTGGGGCAGGGTTGGAATTTGGAGGTGCCTCCAAGGTGGGGTCCGTGGGGGGGCCCTGCATGGGAGGTGGGAGAGTGTTTCAGACCAGGGACCCCCATCAGGGTTGGGAGGCAGGGGTCTGGGCTGAGAGCATCTCAGGTGCAGGAACTCCCTGAGGTCTCTGACTGACTGGGGGTGGGTCACAACCGGAGAAGGGGGGCACGGTGTCGCAGGGGAGCCCCTTGCCTCTCCTTCCAGGATGGGGGAGGGGAGCTTCCTGCCCCTGGCCGCTCCCGCCCTTACCAGGTCTTGGTGTCTCCTGCAGGGGTGGGGGCTGGCACTCCCCAGTCCCCGGCCGGGGATGGGTATCTGCGGGCCAAGCGGCCGCGGGGCCCTCAGGGGCTAAAGAGCAGGACCCGCTGAGGCTCCATCGCAGCAGGCTGTGCCCAGTGACGCAGCAGCAGCAGCCGCCGCAGCCGCCGGAGCAGGGAGGAACGAGGGGGGATGCGGAGAGACGCCCGGGGAGGGGACCCCCCCTAACGCCCCCCTCCTGGCACTGCCTGGGACCAGGCCCTTGGCACCCTGGACCCCTCCCCAGGCCAGGCCAGGCATCGTCTGCAAGTGCCCCCTCCTGGCACTGGGGGCAGCCCCTTCCCCACTCCTACTGCCTGGGGATGGGGATGGGACCTGCTCCGGGGCTGCAGCTCCGTGCTCTGGACAGGGGAGCCAATGCAGGAGCCAAGCAGTCTCCTCCCACCCCAGGCCCCTACCCCACGCGCCCATCCCAGCTCCCCCCCTGCTCACCGCCCCTACCCCCGCCGCATCC